ACAGTCTTTCTTAAGGACCGAGGAGATTATGTGCAATAAAGATGAACTACCTCAACCCCTGCCTATTGTACTATACTGTCGCAATCCTTCAGCCAATGGCTACACAGTACCGGCTACTGTGGCCACACCTCAAATGCTGACATTTTTAAGGGTTCGCATTTCTATTTACGTCTGTTGAACACCGGTTTCGCTCCTGTGTTGGTCCAGCTCATCTACGGTCCGGCCCGTTTTAGGGGCACACCCTGCTCCCCACAACAACCTCCACCACTCGCTACCGCAACCGTCCCCTACACTAGCAATGCCGACCCCATCCCAACTTGGCGTGATTGTGGTCGCATCTTTACATCACGCATCGGGTTAGTCGGTCACTTGCGGACTCACTGCGCCGAAACAGGCGAACCACTGTCAGGAGTATCAACACGCACCCTCCGCAATCGCCTCAGCCCTATAAACTGACAACAGACATTTAGTTTAAGTGAAGAAGAAGAGTCGAGCACCGGAACACTTCCTTTATTATCCTGAGCTTTCAGACTCGTACAGGAGTCCATCGTCGGAGGTAGTGACAGAAACAGGACAAGCGGCAGTTATAAGGCACGTAGGCCCAATCATCGTTGCCTTATGTGTTTAGACGAAAATCTGCAGTAAAACACCGCAGTATAGACCCCATCATAACACATCGTCGAACACGACGGTCGAACTACCGTATGTGTGTGTGAGGCATTTGTAGACAGACCAGGCCGTAAGGGAAGCACATAGACTAGTTGTCTGACTGACTGCTGTCTCTAGAAATGTACATGCCGGACAACGCCAAAGGATCTGACCGTCTGAAGATCCACCAAGACTGTAAGCTGGTAATTGGAGAAGCATGCCGCAACGGCATACGTCGCGTGATCGCAATCTGCCGCCTCGGAGAACTCTAGCCATACGCGATTTTATTCCTACGTTGGGTAGAAAAAAGCGTTCGCATCCCCCTGTATACGGGTTTAAGCTGCTTGTGCTCCTTCTCCCTGATCCATCCTAGGACCGGGCCATAGATCTGTTAGGCCTCTATTTTTCCTAACCAGACTCTGGCTCTCAGTGTTTCTCTACGCCAGGATGAACAAGCATCTTCTGTCACATAGCGTGATCGCAATCTTTCACCTCGGAGAACTCCAGCCATGCACGATTTTATTTTCGCGTTGAGTAGGAAAAAGCGTCCGCATTCCCCTGTATACGGGTTTAAGCTGCTTCTGTTCCTTCTTCCTGACCCACTCTATGGTCGGGCCATAGATCCGTTAGGCCCCACCTCCCTTCACCTACCTCTGAGTGGCTCAAGTTACGGTAAAGTGTGTGTGAGAGAGATCCGAATCATATTTAACTCTCGGCGGGCGTCGCTCTGGGCCAAGTGCGAACAGCCCATTCAACGTCAAGTGTGTTAAGCCTTCCCAGGGGCCACGAGTCTTGCAATCAGAGTTTACTCTCTAACGCTTAAAGGTTTGATCTAACAGAAATATGAGAAAGTAAAACCGTTTTCTAGTGCTGATGGCTGAAAATAGGATCCTCGGTTATTGTGAACGAAGGAAATGGTGAAATGAAGGTTGTTTGCGTCTGTTTACATGATTCTTCGAAAGCAATATCACAACACTTAATAGTAATCGTAGAGGGACACTCAACGATCGTTTATACGGAACTCGCACTTCCCGCTGTGCCTTACGGGCTCTCTCTCTCTCGAGCCCAACCAGCAGCCACACAGCGGCGCATGATGTAGGCAGAATGGTATTACCGACAAGGAACACCTGGGACTCGAACTCACGACCTGTTAGTTAGAAGTCTAACGCCTCTAACCACTAAGCCACGGGCTCTTTATCTTGTCGGTTGCGATCGGGAATTTACAATGGTAGAGCTGGCGCTCACCGATCGTCTTCTAAGAAACTCAATCGTCCCGTTGTGCCTTACGAGAGGGTTTTAGATATTAACCAAACGACTATGTACGAGATTATTAGGGGGCGCTTGCCTGTCGCCATCTGAGTTCAGTGCTCTTCAACCGGTAGGAAACCAACTCCAAACCGTATTACGAATAAACCGCAAAAAGGCAAAACCTCCAGACCTTGAACATGCTCAGTAGGCAGACGTGTCGCAGTTATCTATTATGACAGATTTCCACCAGGAATATACAATCGTAGAGTGGTGCTCACCGATCCCTTCTTCGGAACTCACTAGTCCATTCTGCCTATATCATGCACCGC